TTCGCCTCCTCCTCCCCCTCCTCCTCCTCCTCCTCCTCCTCCTCCTCCTTCTCCTCCTTCTCCTCCTTCTGAAAAGCAACACATGCTCTTGACCTGTCAGTCTTCACAGTTTCTTCACCATAGTAGCACTGGTTCCCAAGCTGCTGGGATCACTCTATCACCAGAGGTCCCATGCCCAGAACTGACTGGTTCCCACGAACCCCAGGAGGGTGTGGGGGAAGATAAGCCCCTTTGAGTCTTGGCTCATAGCCTGGACACAGCTCTATCTGTCCCACTACCCCTCAGCCTCAAGTCAGTTGGGTAGAAATGGCCCAGCAGCTCTTTAGCCCCTGCAGGAACAGGGGATGAGCAATAACTAAGAGTACAGACTTTGGGGTAGAGTCCTGGCTTCTCTGTTGACATCGTGTGTGGGCCTGAGACACCGTTTTCCTGCTCTGTGCCTGTGACCTATCTGACAAGGAAGACCTGGGAGCCATCACCACTGCTTCCTAGAGTTGAGGGGTGGATGCTGATAAACCACCTGTGGGGTGAGTGCAGTTATTATAATGGTCCTGTTGGTCCAGGACCCAGTGAGCTCAGGTTGACTACCACACACCGTGTATGGCCACAGGCAGAGCCCTGAACTTCACCAAAGATGGAGCACAGGCAGAGTGGTGATTCCTGGCATTGGGGCACATTGTGTTTCAAACTTTCAATTCACACTGGAACATTTTTCAAGCCCAGTGAGCTCTCCTGGGCCTACCATTCATCCCCTACTGCCCCAGGTTTACACTCTGCTGTATCGTTTTAAGACTTGTCACCCCCACCCAGGGCCTTCTCAGATCTCTAGAATCTCCAAGAGACATGAGGCTCCAGGTTATCCTCTATGTCCTTCCTCCTTTGGCCACAGTCTGAGATCCTGGCCCTAGGATCAGGCTAAATACCTAACCCTGGGACAGCTACACACATCATAGGGAGTGGCGCTGGCTGAGCTGTCCTGGCTGAAAACTCAGCCCCTTGCTTGGCTTGCCTGTGTGCAGGGCCAGCACCTCCTGCTGAGAGCACAGGCCCCTGTCTGTCTTGCCTTGTGTTGTCAAGGCAACCACACTTTGAGTGATAGGCAGGTACCAAGACACAGGATCAGAACATCAAACTGTTCTGCCCTAGGGGACCAGGCTCTGGAGGTGAGAACCCTGATGAGAAGGGCACCTGTCTTCCTGGGATGTGGCAGGCCACAGCAGCCTGTGTGGGCTCACCAACCCCATTTTCTAAACCTCTGGGTTTAGGTACTCAGGGTGCCTTGCCCTGGACAGACATGATAGACATGAGCCTGACTGTACCCTCTGGCCAGTCAGATCATAGGGCAGATCCCCATTCTGAAGCTGGAAGCCTACCCCACCACCCTCCCTGCAGGCCCGGCCTCTCTTCTGGCTCTGCTCACTCACAAGCTCATGAAAAATTCATGCACCCAAACCTCAGCTCACACCAAGAAAGCTCATGCAATGTGCTCCTGGGGCCCTGCTTTTGAAGGTTCAAGGTACTTTCGGCTGTGGATGTGAGTGGTAATCGGGGTGCATGTGGGTGGATGTGAATTCTTGGGATGGGCCACTAATGGCCTCTGGATACATACCAGTACAGTGTGCACATTGTGACCCACATAGACTCAGCTGCCAGGCAAGCTGACCCCCAGCACCCAGTAGCAGAAGCCAGAATGTGGGCCAGGAAGACCATGCCAGGCCAGGGGCCATTCTGGGTCCTCCCACTAGAGAAATGTGACTCTGAATGCCCTGTCTTGTTTTGTGCTACAGCAGGCAAAGGCTTCAGGTCTAGGTTCTTGCTGTGTGTCCAAGCAGGGTCAGACAGGCAGCAATCAGAAAACATGTGGGTCATATACATGTGCACGTATGCATAGATGCAGGGAGGCATGGCCTAAGTCAGAGCACTCAGGGACCCAACTATTGGGTGGCTAAACCCTGAACACTTCTCCTCTTGGGGTTGCCCCCTCCCTGCCTCCTCTTTCAACCTTCTGGCCCTGTGTCTGGGAGAAGCTTAGCTCTGGGCCTGGCTTCTCTATTGCTAAGTGATTGTAGCGAGCCCAGATGGAGAGCCTTATGACAGAAAGTGGGGAAAGGTTATTTTTCTGGACCCCTGTTTTCAGTGACTTGTTGAGGAGAAATATTACCCCTGATCCCACGGCTCTTCTCCAGGAGCAATAGGAGAGCGTGAAGTTATGAAATTGAGGGCACCTTCACTGAGCAATCGATTAGCAGCTGAAGAAGCCGGTGAACTGGCTGTCTGGACATTTCCAGTAATAAATTGTGAAATAGTCCATGAATAAGTAGTCTCAGAGTTGAGAATTACCCCCTAGGAAATGTTGCTGGGCTGGAGACGCATTGCTAAGGCGAGCACCATTTTAATGCCCTGGGCTTCAGCTGTTAAATATGTATGCCATCCGCAAAGCACTTCCCAAAATTAATGGCATTTTGCAGCTGCTCCGAAGGCAGCGTATTTAGATGGAGATGTATAGATTCTGGGCCTGCAGTGGCTTCACAAATGAAGTGCTAATTTTAGAGGCTAAGGCCAAGGAGGGGGCGGGTCAGGAAGGGAGCAGTCTTAGGGGCTTTTCCCAAACAATTCCCTCCACTTGCCCTGGCAGCCATGATCGTTAACTGTTTGGTGACAATGGGTGTGGTCTCTAAGAGGGAAAGGTCACTGAAGTAACAGGCCAGTCGGTCCACAGGAGAAAGCATGAAGGTGAACAGTAGTCACAAGAACAATATTAGTGACGTTCCAGCTGAAACTTGCCAGGCACCAAGGGCATCTCCCAGGTGGACTCATCTTATCCCTATTCCTGATAGGATAGGGTCTGTCAAAATCTCCATTCTACAGAAGGAGGTTTTGGACATCTCTCCCCGTCCGGGCAATTTCCCTGGGAAAGATGTTGCCTTCTCTCTAATTCTTTCTCTAAGTTAAATAAGGTCCGGGCCGCCTGGTACAACAGTGCAGCTTGTCCACTGTACAAAAGCATCCATCAAAGGGGTAAGTGGACTGTCAGTCCACCCAAGCCCCACCCCCAGAGTGTGGGGCAGTATTACCTGGGAAGGGTCAGTGTTTCCTGACCTCCATTCAGCCTGAGCCCCTGCCTGGCCCAGGCTTTCCCATCCCATTGTTGAGCTGCTTGCCTGGCTCCTGGCTGCAGGGTAGCACCAGAGGCCCTGAGGTCTAGGGTGGGACTAACCCAAAGGTACATGTTCCCATGTGATTAGACTGGCAAGCATTGTCCCCCGAAGATCTCCTGAAAGCCTGAGTAGACCAGTCATAAGATGGGGTGGCCAATGGGAGACTTGGGGACCAGGACAGAAGAAAAGCCCACCTGCCCCAGCAGGAGCCTGGATTAGGCACTGGTGGGTCTCTGCTCCTGAGGACTTCCAACAATGGTCACCACTTCCACTTCCCACCCTATCCCAGGGGCCCCTGGGGTCAAGAAAAGCACCCTGTCAATGGGGAGAACATTGAGACACCCCAATAAGTAAGTACTTATGGTTTTGTGAGCATGTGTTCTGTCAGTGAATGGCTCTCTGCTAGGAGTACAGGTGTTTAGACAAGAGCAGGTTGCCAGGGTGGGTATAGGGGAAGGTGGCTATCAGGCCAAGGCAGAGGATGGGTCAGGACTGACGTCCAAGAGATACAAGCAGGTGAAGGGATAGCAGCTCTCAGCCTTAGTTCAGGACCTGCCCGAGCAGGTCAAGTCAGGAGGGTCTGAGCCTAGAGAACAGGCAGGAAAGGAGCTAGGGGGAGTGATGATTGGTCGTGTCTATCAGAAACTGAACTTCTGTGTGGCTTTGGGTCATGGAGTGAGTCTTTTTCTTCATGTCTCAAATGGGGATAAGGCCATCTATTTTGCATGCTAATAAGACTTAAACAAAACAGATTGACAGGAGTCAAAAATGGTGCGCACAGCCCGACGTTGGTGGCGCACGCCTTTAATCCCAGCACTCGGGAAGCAGAGGTAGGTGGATCTCTGTGAGTTCGAGGCCAGTGAGTGGATCTCTGTGAGTTCGAGCGAGTGCCAGGACAGGCTCCAAAGAGAAACCCTGTCTCGAAAAACCAAAAAAAAAAAAAAAAAAAAAAGAATGGTGCGCAGTAATAATTTGGCAAAAGTGGATTTTGCAGGTGGGGAGTGTGTTCAGCTCAACCATCCCCATATTTTCCCATAGCAAGTTCTGGGTGGGGGTGGGTGCTTGAGGCCCACAGAACTTTTTCCTGGATTATGGAGCATCTGGATCTTGCCACATCCAAGCATCTCCAATTGGATGCTGTCAGTTCAGTCCTCCCTATGGGCTTCCTTCCTCTTCCCATAGCTTTTCAATTGTGGCGCAGCCAGGGCTGTGTTTCTCAAGAGTCAGATAGCGCTAAGCCTTTTTCTATGCCTTCCACTGGCTTCTCATCACCTGACACAGGACAGGCATCTCTGGACCCACAACCTGCCTTCTTGAGGACCAGTTAACCCCTGGGAGAAGCACAGCCACATGCAGATAGAGCTGCCACCATAGTCAGTGTTGGCTCACTGCCAGGTCCCGACTCGGGGTGCTGAGGGGACCTTGGGAACAGAGTGATATTGGGAAGGGTGTCCAATATAGAACAAGTTGGGAAGGCACCTGATGAAGGGCTTTGGCTGCACTGTCCTCCAACTTGAGTGGATGCTAGGCTCACCCACAGCTCCTGCCTCAGTGGGTCTAGTGGGAAGCCCAAGGGTGTTTTCCTAGCAGGTTCTAAGGTCAGACTGATGCTGGCCTGGGACACTAGCAGTAGAAAACCTGTGCTATGGAATCGGGTAGTTCCTGTTCTACCACTTGATAGCTCTGGGGTCACTAGCACTTAAGTCAGTCAGTACTAGCAGAGCCCTGTCCCCTTGTGCTGGGACCATTCCTGCAGGTACCATGGCAAGGCTGTTGGTCTAAGCCATTTGAAATGTTTTCAGAAAAACAAGAGTCCAGGGCCTAAGGATGGGTGGTGTTGGTAAAGTGCTTTGTGATTTAAGCAGGAGGCCCAAGTTCCATCCCTAGAACGACATATAAAGCCAGGCGTGGTGGCTCATGCTTGAAAGCTGGGTTCTGGGAGTACCAAGGCAGGAGGATCCCTGGGGTTCTTCGGCTAGCCAGTCTAGCTTGCTCAGTAGGATTCAGGACAGTGGTAGACCCCGCTGTCTGTGATACCCACTCCATCCCACTGAAGCAAAGTGAACTTCAAGTGCTTAATTCTGGTTACATGAATACATACATGCAATTTTTTAAAGGGATTTTTCTTTTTTATTCATGGTCTCACTATTGTCATCCTGGCTAACCTGGAACTCTATGTAGATTAAGCTTGCTTCAGATTCACAGTGATCCTCCTGCCTCTGCCTCCAGAGTGCCAGGATTAAAAGCATTAAAATAATTTAATAATAATAATTATTATTATTAAAATGTAAGTAATAAAAAAGTTGATGGCAGGATGTTGATGGTGCATGCCTTTAATCCCAGTACTCAGGAGGCAAAGGCAGGCAGATCTCTATGAGTTCAAGGCCAGCCTGGTCTACAGAGCCAGTACCAGGACAGACTCCAAAGCCACAGAGAAACCCTGTCTCAAAAAAAAAAAAAAAGATGATACTTGAAGAATGACATCCAAGTTTGACCTCTAGCCTCCACATGCACACATATATGCACATGTACCCATACACAAGCATGTACCCAGTGTGTGTATGTGTGTAAGAGGCTAGGCCAGGTGTGGAGCACATGCCTCTAATTCCAGCATTTGAGAGGTACAGGCAGGAAGATCAGGGGGTTCTAGGCCATCCTTAACTACTTAGCGGTTTCAAGGTCAGCCTGAACTACAGAGCCCAACCCCCACCCTAGACACCTAGCCTAGCATCTTCTCTCCCTTCTGTCCACACAGGAGGAGCCCTTTGTCATGTTCCGCAAGTCTGATAGGACCCTTTATGGCAATGACCGGTTTGAGGGATACTGCATCGACTTGCTGAAGGAGCTGGCGCATATCCTGGGCTTCTCCTATGAGATCCGGCTGGTGGAAGACGGCAAGTACGGGGCACAGGACGACAAGGGCCAGTGGAACGGCATGGTCAAGGAGCTCATTGACCACGTAAGCCAGGGCTTGGGCGTGGAGCTTGGGGTAGGGACAGGGTTGGAGGTTCTAGTGACACCATTTGAACATCTGGGCATCCCAGCAGGTAAAGGTCCGAGGACTGGGGAGATGGAGGTGGAGGTTGTGTTCTTGGGGGTCAAGATCCACAAGAAGTGTGTGCCCAACTCTGCTGGCCTAGGCTGTCCACATCCCAACATCCCCACTATATACACAAATTGGTTCCTCTGATGATGGGCCTTCCCAGGCGTCTTTGGCAAGGTTGCTGTGGAGAGAATCCATGCATCTTCCCAGCCTTTTGCTCCTTGAAGGATGTCTCAGCCCTGAAATTGAGGAACCTAAGCAAACATACTCTCCAACTCAGGGACATGAAAACAGATCTGTCACTTTGTCTAATCACGATGGGTTCACTGGTGAGACAAATGACTCAAGGAATGGGCTTAGGGCTGGCATGGAGGGATGAGTGAAACTACACTAGGAATCACCAAGAACCTCTCACCCTGCCTGGGACAGGGAAGAACTCTAGGGAGTAAGGAGCCTTGCAGGCAGGGTGAGGGGGAGAAGCCTGGGTTTGTAAAACATGAGGAAGAAGACAAGAATTTGTAAGTCAAGAGAGGAATTGGAGCCCTCAGCTATGGACACAGGCACAAGTCACCCAGCCTCTCTCTGAGCAGCTTCCTCCTCAGGGAAATGTGAAAACCAGCAGATCTAAGGTTAAAAAACTAGCCTTTAGGTTTAGCATATGTATGACCTAGGAAGTTCTTCAGTACAAGTACACACGCACACACACACACACACACACACACACACACACACACACCAGCTTCATGTCTTCCTTTTGACTACAGGAGTGGTTGGTAACTGCCAAGGCCACTAAAGAAGGTATGAGAATATAACCAGATACTTGTCTGTCAGGCTTACAGGGCACAGATAAATTGTTCCCCACCTTCCATCTCAGGGCCCTCAGCAATACAGAAGCAATACCTATCTGCAAGAGATCCTGCCTGCAGTTAAAGGTGGTAAGGACCAGATTGCCCTGGATGCCCTAGACCTGCTCTCCCCAGTCCTTAGAATAGCCCACTGAGGCGGTTACAGAGACTGAGGCAGAGGCAGCAGGGAGATAGGAGCCTGGCCTCAAAGATCGAGTGGTGGGCTGAATTCAAAGCCAGAGAGTCTTTAAAGACTATATACCTAAGTGGCCCTGGGCTTTGATCGCTCTATAGAGACCACACTGGCCCAGAGCCAGGGGGAAAGCACATTCATGGCTGACACAGTCTCCAATGCCCCCTAGTCCCAGTCTGGGCTCCTCACTGCTCTCTCTCCAGGCAGAGGCAGCTGTACCAGGCTTTGACAAATGCCTTGACCCACTGGACATTGGAAAGGTACTGTATGGAGACCTCAGAGGCAAATGAGGAGGAGGAACATTGAAGCTTAAGAGTCAAGTGGAGTGTGACATGGTAGACCTGTCCCTGGCCTGGCACACATGGTCTGTACAGAAGCCTGGTAGGAAGGGGCAATGCTGAAGAGCCTATACTGATGCTGCCACTTGGTAGCTAGGTGTCCCTGGACAGTCTACATGTGTATGTCCCCCTACCTGTAAAGGGGGATGACTTGCACAGGACTTGCCTCCCAGGGGTGCTGTGAGGACTCCATTAGCAGGCGTGCCTGGTGTAGTTGGCAGACCATCAGTCCTTGATGTCATTGTTTTTATTTTCATCCTCACAGTTGTTCCTTAGAGACTGAGGAGGGAGTTGTTCAGGACTCCTTTTGTGTCCCCAAGCTCCGGTTTCCTGCCTCCACAGTGAGAAAGATGATAACTGTCTCCACTTTTCCCCTGCCCACTGTGAGGCTGGAAAGAGACAATGGATGGGAAGGGGTTTCTGAGCTACAGGCTTCCATGTAAATGGGAAGCCATGTTGTCAATGGTATTAGTAATAACTGTAATTATTATGGAAATGAGCCAGCAGGACCGGATGCAACTCCTCTTACCTGCTCCCCCAAGCCTTGTGAGTGGGACTCTGGAGCCTGGCGTTTGCAGAGGCAGTGGAAATAGAGAGGGCAGGGCTTCTGTAAGAGGGATAGCCAAGACCACACATAGAAAGAGATGAACAGACAGTCCTGCCGCCACTGCATCTTGGTGGCCCACAAACTTTGAAGAGCTGACTTTTTAAAGGGACATAATGAGAAAGGCCAGCACCAAGCAGACCCTCAGTGCCCCTCTGCTGGGGAACCACAGGAACCTTCTCCACAGCCTCCATACTGCTGGCCAGTGCTTTGAAGGCCCCATACCCATCAAGGCCAGGAGCCTGGATGGGACATGCTGGGGACCTTGTTAAACCTGATTCCCTACAATTGATGAGCCTGTTAATCCTAGCTTGGTGCCATTTTTAATAACATCATAACCATTTATTAGTGTCATCAGATAATTAGTCTTCTCACTAGCTCATAGAGAGTGTGGTAAAGACTTGGCAATATTATTACTTCCTTATTAGGGATCTGAATAGAGGCATAAAGATGATGGATTCCCACCTCTGGAAGTATTTGCCGCCCCCCAGGTCCATTCGGGGGTCCTGGGCAGACCCTCCAACCAACAGAACTTAAAACGTCCTTCCCTGACACTCTGCTATCCTCTGGTCCATGCCCCATGGCTGTTCAAGGAGCTGGCATTGTGGGAGGTGGGCACCAGAAGGATGCAAACCCTTCCTGCAGATATACTCACCTTTCCTGAGATGCTGTTAATCACACAGCAGCAAATGCTATTCAATGTCTCTCCTGACCTCTCTCCCTCACTGCTGCCTGCTCCCTCTCATACCCTCCCAGGTGTCTCTGCTCACCTCCCCGCCTTCAGTACTCCCATGAACTCTAGAATCCGATGGGAATAGATTCGGATTCCAGGCTGGGAATTTCAGCTCACATGAGAAGAGTCCTCCAACCTGCCTGGCTTCCATTCCCCCAGCTTCAAGTGATAACAGAACCTTAGTCTTGGTTCATGCTCAGTGAGCATTCATGCGTGAGAGGCGGCCTACTCAGTGCTAGCTGTGCCAAGTGCAGCCCCTCCCCCACTTCTCTAATGTGTCTCTGCTCAAACATGGTGGCAGTGGGAGAAGTCACCCATCAGCCACAGTCATCCTGCTCCACAAGCTGTAACAGAGGACTGACCAGGACCTCAGCCTTCCCTACCTGACTCTAAACAGACAGCCTTGGAGGCTGACTCATGTTCTTCCAACTCATAGGAGACTGAGGCACACACTAAAGTTCTGCCCTGGTTGGAACGTAGGTGGTTTTTACACCGGGAACCCCCACCTGCCATCTAGAGTGCCCATGTCCTGCCACTGGTCCCCAGGAGCCTAGATGGGAATTATGAAGGAAAAGCCCCAAGAGGGGAGAGCCTGAAGCCAAGGGGGGGGGGCGCACAGATGGAGAGAGAGATGAGGTTATTAGCCTCGAGAACTGAGTTATTTAATTTTTCCCATTCTCGGGATGGATTCTGGGACCTTACACATGCTCGGCAAGTATTCTATCACTGGGCTACATACCCACCCAAGTTATTTAATTTTAATATTGATAGCTACAGAGCACTAGTAGAGGATATGGAGCTGGGGGATAAGTAACATCATCCTGGCTCTGAAGGAGCCAGCCTGGGCACGTGGCTGGGGCCTGGTACAGGAGAGGAGAGGTACAGTGGGAAAGAAGGAAACTGAAGGCCCATGGAGGAGACATGAAGCCTGCAAGCTGGAGATGGGTGAGTGGAGGGGTCGGGGAAGGGTGGTGATGAAGGACCAGACAGTGGATTCTATTACGGGCCTCTTGGGAGATACTGGTTCTTTCCCCAAGTGTCAGGCCCCCTACAGAAGTCACTTGAGGCATGTTAGAACCCTATCTATGGTCAGCAGGTGGCTGGCCATAGGCTGTGAGGAGGCTGCCAGATTGGGGTAAGGGGGAAAACTGCCCAGGATGCCCTGTCTGGTAAGGAGGAGAACCAGGAGAGTATGGGTAGGGAGGTCACTGAGACCAGGCTCAGGCCTGAGATGTATGGCATAGAGTTTTCCTGGTTTGTAGATAGACTGACACCAAGATAGGGGACAAAGAATGATCACAGGTAACCTTGATGTATCTTCTTTGTGAAGAAATAGCCATGCTCAAATGTCCCCTCCACCCCCTATCACAGAGTACAACCAGGGAAAGTGGCATATCCAGGAGGGACAGTGTCCTCTGCTGGACTCTTATTCTAGACAGAAGTTTCTGATGCACTTAGCTTGGCCATTGTCCAGCACCTGGATGCAAAGCAGGCATTGCTAAATGAAAGACTCATAAATGGGCATGGATTGCTCATCCTGCCCAGCGACATAACTGTGGGTCATGACTCAGCTTCACATCCAAAATGTACGTGAGGAAAGTCTGGTGTCAAAGCTGTGACCTCATCACCTAATGGGTCCATTGTTTTCGTACCATAAGCCAGTTTCTCCTCCTGGTCTGCATGCACAAGTGTTGGACCCAAGCCCTATTCTTGTGTCCAAGAGAAGCTCTGCCCAACCTACCTCATTCAGGCTAGGCAGATGCACTTAAATACAAGACATGCTGGGAGCTCTCCTGGGGCAGGTCAGAATGCTTCAGGGACAGTGAAGTTAGGGCGGTGGGGGGGGAGGGGACAGATGGCTGAACCCCTGGACTGTCGTCAGGGCAGCAGATTACCCAGAGACAGACCTAAAGAGTGTTGTAAAAGTTCAAGAGGTCGTCAGAGTAATTATGGGGAGGATGGGGGGGCAGGGATGACATAGTGCCCTGCTGAGATTTCCCATATAACTATCGGGTCTAGAACTCAGCCTAGAGAGAGACCTGCAAAAGGGGTCAGACAAACAAGTGCCAAAGAGGACATGGGAGCTTTACAGTCAGAGGGAAATGGGTCCAGTGACTGGGACAGGCAAGCTTCCCTACAGGGCATCATGGGCCTGTTCATTCAGCCAAAAGATCTTAAGTGCCGCTGTCACCTTAGGCTTGTA